GTTGGGATTTCCGGCCTCCTTGCGCCACTTATACAGAGCCGCAAGGGCTCTCGCCTCCAGGTGCCACGGTGGGGTTACGGCCAGGAGACTCGCCGCCTCAAAGGAGATCGTGCGGTACCCCCTTATGATTCTAATGGCCAGCACTCGCTGCGGTCGTCGCAGTATCGCGATGTTGCTAGCCTTCAGGGCCCTCGCCCATACTGGGCACCCGTAAAGGGCCATGGACCGCACAACCCCCGAGTAGAGTCTCCTGCAGGAGTCATCGGGTCCCTTCATGTTGGGCAGCAGCCGCGCCAACGCACGCGCTGCCCCAACCAACTTGGGGAACAGACCTCGGAAATGATATCCGAAGTCCCATCGGCCATCGAGTACGAGCCCCAGATACCTGATCGAGGGCTCGATGCCGATGCGAGTGCCTCCTACCGTGAGGCTAGATCCCTCAGGCGGGTTCCTCCGAAGCCCGTGGAAGAACAGGGCCTCGGATTTGTGCAGAGCCACCTCGAGACCCAGCTTGGGCAACCCCGGTGCGTCTTGCCGCGCGCTGTCACGAGCGTGTCGTCCGCGTAGCACACGACGGCGACACCATCCAAGAAGGCACCACGAAGCACCCAGTCGTTCAGATTTATAAAACTACCAAGAAAGTATTAGCAACAAAATTTGTTTACATTCACCTGTAGGTAGATTTATTTAGTTTATAGGTATGTAGGTACTTTGTGTAATAAACAAAAGAAACTACACTATGTTATAACTGTCCAATTCACATGCGTCATTTCTACATATTTAATAGGTAGAAATTTCTGTATGGTCGTGAAATATAGATTAGTAAATAGGTTGCACACCAATCACATGATGTTTAGGGCGCGTTGCAAAAGGTCAAAAAGTGGGTCAATCGCCTCTAAAGGTCAATATATTATTGTATTACAGTAGTGGGCATTTATTTGAGTAAGCGTTGCGGATATCCTTCTAATATTCCCATGGGTTTTAAAGATACAATATTACGATTATTTTCCGTTAAAAAAGGGATAATTGTATTTTTTATTGCGAGAGACAACGCCTAATACCCTAAATTAAGGCTAAATTTGTATGGATTTATTTGGAACGTATAGTAAACGGTACTAGATTGTTATAACAAAGAGGAAAATAAATTGCTCATTTGTTTCAAACGTTCAGAGCAGCTATCACTGGCATAAGGCCAATCAAAGTAACCGTGCTTCAACAATAATTATACTCCGACAAATTGCTTTGATACGTAAGTGTATTGCCGGTACTGAGTTCATAGCTATCGTTCCGGTAGTATAGAATGTGTAATATTCTATTTGTTACGTTATTTGAGACCAGTATACATATTTGCAATAAGTTGAAATTTCGTGACGTTACCTTATTTAATTTTGTTAAAATTTAAAAATTTAAAATAAAAATTTAAATTAAATAAGGTATTTAATTTTGTGTAATAATTATATTTGGGTCTCATTAGAAGTAACAAAAACCGTTAGTTTAGTTCGGTTCACCGAACGACTGTGGTTACTACAGCCCAAAGCCTTTACCTTCCCCTTATTCTGGGCGACGGACTGAAAGGCGGTAAAGCGTTAGTGACTCTTAACTTGTAGGTGTCTATGGGTGGCGGTAGTCACTTATGACCTATCTGCTCGTTGTATACCATAAAAAAGTCATTTGATGAACATAATATACATGGGTCGAACACAGTCCTAGTTTTTTAGCTTCACATTCAATTCAAAACCTTAAATAGATGCTTAATTTATTTGTGATAAAGACAGTCAATGTATTACAATTGCTATAGCAACATATCTAATAGGTAACACAGTACGAGGCCCACGCCCAGCGCCGCGTTCTTGCCCCAATATCTCTACCAAAGAGGCTGCACAAACTGGGTTAGCGACAAGGGGCTATTTTGTAATTAATTGTGGGGTAACACGCACACGCAACAAGTGTGTCTATTATTTTGCGCTGATTGTCGGAATTCGCTATATTCGGAGGATAAATTTTAATATTAATTATTCTATCGTCGTATCTCCTATAGTTATACATTAATGGGGTAAGAAAATATAACACAAACCGTGTTTTTTGTGTCCGTTTCATGAATGTTTGTGTAGTCCCCGCGATACAGGATATATTTCTAATGCGGGAGTTGTCTTTTTAATAAAGATAACCTTCTAAAGGTTCTCGCAATATAAAATTTTCTCACATATATCATAAAAGGTATTCCCGTAGTAAAGTATTAAACATCCAATGTTGACTGTGATTTGATTATATCGTATTGTAACCGAAAGTTAAATCGGTAATCTGCTAGTCTTAGTTACTAATACGTAATACTTTACTACTAAATTATGACATTTATGACATCGAGAGTAGATCGGAATTGAATTTTGAACGAATTTTTATTACGAGAGTTGACCTTCTGGTAACAGAAAGGACAACAGATGAATCTTAAGTAATACCGCCAGTGCATCATTTAACAAACAAATAAGAGTGCTATTCGGCGAATTTCTTCTCTGTCTCGTTTCAAAGGTCGCCAGAAATAGAAGACAAGAACTGCTATGGTGGGAAATGGCTGATGGGAATCGATGCAGCGAAAACCATATTAATACAGAAAGTAGCTCTTTGGTGCCAACTTTAGCTTAGGCTTTTGATACTTTCAAACTGTGTGAGGGACGATAATGTTCAAACAAATAGGGTTCTATAATTGGGGAAAATCGGAAGATCGGAAATGGGAAGATCGGAATAATAATTAGATTTAGAAAATTGTTAGATTTATGCTCAGTGAAATAAGTCTTCATATTATTATGTTGTAATATCTTTTATTAAATAATAAATAGAGTGTTCCTTATTTACCACATTACAAACAGTTAATTTTTTGCTATACTTAAGCACAATAGGCAATCTCATCGCTAGAAAAGCCATGTCCATTCACATATTTTTAAACAAACAAGAAAAAAGCCTTCTTAATTTTTTATGCAAACTTATGTTTAACACACGTTATAAAAGGGAGAGAAAGAGAAAAGGGATGATAAGTTTTACTTAAAGGCTTAAGTTAATACTTACGAGTATATCATTAGCTTTGCTGCAGCTGCCAGTGACATTCCCGTGGAAAATGGTATTTCCGTTACGCCAAAATCTCCCTAATGTTGGAACAAACAGACACTTTATATTTTTAATTATGGGTTTAACGATCAAGAAAAATATTTTAACGATATCCTTACACGCTCTTTTTTCAGCCAAATCAAAAGGGATGCATATTTCTTAACATACATACCAAGAAACGGACAAATAAGAAGATAAAACACTCAATTAAAACTTAATTAGAAGAGACTTACTTACTGCCGTTACAGTAACAGTAAAGTAACACCAGTGAGTATTGATTGTTATACCATTATACGTATTAACTTCAAGACAGGTTTTCATTTAGCCACCTTTAAGCTTGAGGATAGTCAGCAGTAAAGGATACGATATGTCATTAGTGTACACGACGACTAATAGATGGCGTTACCTTTTCCTTAAACACCAGCTATTATGTCACGAAAGTGTCACCATGTAAGTATGTATCTATATAAAATATTTATAATTATAAGAGTAAAATCTGTGATGTAAATGGTGTACAAGAATGAAAGTGGTTGCGTATATTACATAAGTCGTGTTATCTGGCTAGGCCACCAGCCGACTGGTAACAATAAAAACCGCTTTGTGTTTGATAGTGAACGCTGGAATGTCATACATGAAAGTGTTAGATTATTACTTTATTTATGGCACTTCCCATGAAATAAGTATTTAATGTAGTCCTCGTGGTAATCATCAACAGCCTCTAATAGTCCACTACTGGACATTGGCCTCTACTCAGAAAGGAGATTTTGGCCTACTATATCCCGCTGTCCGTGTGGTGACGGGTTAAGAATACAAATTGTCACCACCCCAATTCATCCCGTGGGTGTCGTAAGAGCCGACTAAGGCAGCAAACTAAGCAGGACAACAGCACTGCAAAGAGATGGGAAACTTGAAACAAACCCTATACCAACCCGTCTGGCCAGCGTGGTATGTGGCCAGGCTGTTGATGATTATGTGATTGATGTGATACCCCGCTGGCCAGACAGGTTGGTATAGGGTTTGTTTGCTCCCTTAGTCGGCTTTTCAACACCCACTGAATGAGTAGGGGTGGTGACAGTCCGTATTGTTATTGACAATGGTAAGACAAGCTTCTATTACTATTAATAACAAAAAAACAGTTTAGTTGTTATTTAGTTCCTAGTGACATTTTTTAAAGTACGGTTGGCTATTATCTGCAGCACAATTAAAATATTTATGTATTTGCGAAGATAGTTAAATAAAAAGTATTATGTTTAGGCGATTCTGAGAGTTCTATTTTTGAAATATTAAATCCACCTATAACTTAAAATTAATGTAATTTAATTATAGTAACCACACTTTTCCATTCGGTTGTACGCACGCGAACTGGGCGCGGTTCTCAATCGAAGAATTGGTTTACCGACTTACACTTATTATGTCCATTTACAAGCATGGTTGCAACATCATACTGCAACTTGCTCGATGTACGCAATCCTTTTATCTGATTTGTTCATTAATACTTACTTACGTTTGTTTAGATTGAATTAATTGACCATTTAAATATTATGGGCGTTTTACAAATATAGAATAGTCAAATATTAAACTCCACCGTTAAATTTCACCATTCGAGTCATTTGGATAAAAAGCAACGGATTCCGGACCATCTTCGAGCTCTGCTTAGTTGGAAACTAGATGGCGCTGTGTATTAGATGTCCGAAAATATTATTATTATTATTTGAGCCGAAACATGGCTCTATTGTAATGTACTTTTTTTATGGTCTAATCCGCAAGTCTGTAACTACATTTAGGTGATTTAAAGAACATTTAAAACAAGGCAATATTTAAAAATCCCTCTATGTTTCATAAAGTAAAGTTCCATAAGCATAAGTAATTTTGATGTTCAATATTTTAAAATACAAAAATACTCAAGAAGCCTTTCTGATTGTGGATAGGCATTGGGACATCCTAACGGTGAAATGGTATGTCGGTATGGAAACGACTAAAGCCACGTGGTTATCTGTCACAAGTGTCCCCTCCGTCATATTATCTAGAGAAGGAATTAATGCTAATCTTGGTTGCCTCTTATACAGCCGGCGGCCACACAGGTGCCTTGCCCCAGATCGTGGATGCGCGGGAAAACGTCGTTTTATTGTCTTAAGCTCGCTTCTGTAATGGTAACATGCAGTCTTATCCATTACCTCCAGACCAGCGCTCATGGAGGGTAGAGATCCTTTTACACTCTCCATTACTAGTCCGCTCCTCTTATCAACAACACCAGGCTAAGGACCGCTTGATAGTGAAAGTTCTTTATCATCATCACGGTTTGTCGTGGTACATGCGGTGGTGATGAGGCTATTTTTGTTTTGGCAAATTAGCAGTAGATACACTGCGGCTAAAGGTGATAATATTTGTGGTGATGATAACAAACTCTTTTTTATTGAAGAGGGGGCAAACTAGTCAACGCCTGATAGAAAGCGACTACCGCGGCCCATGAACGCCTGCAGCTCAGGAGTCACAAGCGCGTTGCCGGCCTTTGAGCAAAGAGTACACATACTTGAACTAAAATAATGCCCGGTGATAATGAACTATATCTGTTTGATAATAGGATGAGCTTAGCATCTTATAGTGTTGTACATACTCAGGTATGGGTATTTTATGGTATTTGATACGACTCGATAACTTGGGAGTGGGGAGAGGCTCATAGCCAGCGTAATGAGACGACCGCCGCTGTAGCTGATAAACGTTTACCTGCGTCACTTTAAAGTAAGCCGACTCAATATGATGAGATCTATTCTTCGTCTGGATCGACTTATAAATGGCGATGATATCGTGTAGGATACATACAAAGAGATATGTTCAGTCTAATTAAGAACCTCCTTCTTAAAATTGGTCCAGTAACATACATTTAATATATACTTAAAAATATAAATTAATGGTCATATCCTTAATAGCTATCTCTTTTTTATCCTGTGTGGTTACATCCTTTCAGGCTTCTGCTAGACTGAAAAGCTACCTTTCTTTTGATTTCATTATCCAATTCCTGACCTCATGATAAATAAAGATACTTGTTCGCCACTTTAACGGTATATTCAGCTTAAAATTTTACATACAAGTTAGTTTGATAATTTTAAGCCTTTCAACAACTTCTAGTTGTCCTACATTTAACATCCAGTTTTATAAAGGCAGGTTCTAAAACTCTGGTTTTACTAATAGCAGGAAGTTAGTTTAATTTAGTATTCTTAAATAACTGATGAAAGCAAGATTTATGGAAATATGCTTTGCAATGGAAATAAATAATTGCGTTTTTAAGAATTCATTAAACAATTATTAGATATATCTATAATTAATTGAAACATTAATTAATTCAGTAAAAAATGCTTGAGCAGGCCAGGATAGTTCGATCCTATTAGCCTCTAATTTACTACTTCCTACAACAATGGGGTAGATGACTGACAAGGCTATTCAGAATCTTTTTATAAACCGTCAAGAACATGGACGCTGTACATTTTTACATGAAATACTATGGCGCGCCATCATTTATTTTGAATGTTGATATGAAAAAAAAATAACAATAAAAATCATAAATTGATTATGGAGGACTATTCAGACTGTACTTTCAGATGTTAATTTAATGATTCAGGAGACCTACCTATATGTTATACGAGAGAAAAATAGAGGACTGCGTCATCTATCAGATTAGGAAGCTACCGGTCCTACAATCATAATATCGGTGGCTCGGATCCAAATTAATTCACCACCGTCATAAACACACAGCTTTTAGCAGTCCACTGCTGGATATATGCCTCTCCTTAGAAAGGAGGTTTTGGCCTACTATACCACGGGTTGGTATAGAGTTTGTGTCATGTTTACCTTCTTATTACAGTGCTGTTGTTCGTCGCCTCGTACGACACCCACGGGATGAATAGAGGCGGTGACACTCGCTATTCTTAATTTGTCAAAACACGGACATTTCATGCAATAGATTTATTAAATAAAAAAAAATTGTTAAGATTAATATCGCAAGAAACTGCAATATGCAAGAGGAAGCGATTGATTAATTTGCAATAAGTTCGATAACGTTTAATCCAATTAACGCAAATGGTTCATGCGCGACGGCGCACGCGACTCTTGCATGTCAACATTAACAACTGACATGTGTTAAGAATTATTCACGTTCCAACAGCGAAGTAATTTGTAACTTTACAATTGGACATTTTTTTTTTTTTTTTTTTTTTTTTTTTTTTTAAAAAGACAACTCCCGCATTAGGAATATATATATCCTGTGTCGCGGGGGACTTTACAAACATACATGAAACGGACACAAAGAACACCCAGACTCAGAACAACAATTTGTGGATCACACAAAGTGTCGTCCCATGTGGGGTTTGAACCCACAACACTCGGCGTAGAAGGAAGCGGCGTGGCGACCGCTTAAACCACTCCGCCATCTGTGCAGTCTTGCAGACATTACTTATTTGTCACTTAGTTACGCTTCTATTCAACTTTGGTACCGATACAAATAGACACGGATTAGAGTTCGATTTCTCTTCGAAATTTAAAGGAAAGGGAATGTCTAGAATTGTATCGCTCATTGATCCTGCCTGTCTATTGATCAGGCAAAAAAGACAGTGTCAAGTAATGAGGATAGTTCGTTTTGAATCAATCACCTTGCGCATAGGTTTGGTATTCTGAAAATGTTCTGTCCCTGTGACCAGCAGTCCAGATATTATAAACTCTAGTTATCCATTTTGTATAAAATGGCGTATATTAGAAAAAAATGCCCCCTGAATTCTTCACCGTCGTCGTCGAGAGCGAGTGGATGTCAAATAAACTCGTACTAGGCCCTTCTGGTAAACCTAGTAAAAAACCTGCAAATTTTGAGTTGGTGAAGTCTTTAACATTTGCTAGAAGAACGCTCTCACACAACTAAACTCTCATATAATGACATTGAATTTACCTTTACGTTGCTGTGTCGTCGGTGAGGTCTACGTCAGAGATATGCGGCAAATTCATGTCGGGTGCAAAGCAAAAAAAGTTAACTGCAATTTTTTATTTTTTTATTGCAGTTACTTACTAAAATTACATATTCTACAACATGGTATAATAAAAAATACAAATATCGCCTCATTTTTTTGTACTTTCTTCAAGTAAAACAAGACAACTACTCCTGTTTTGTAAATTTGCACGACGTGAACGGCTAGCGGTAGTTAAACGCATTAGCTACCGCTGGCCGTTTTTACGCATGGCGTGTATAATATTTGTTTGTTTTGGCTTGTTACGTGTTGAACTAAAACTACTACTAAAACTAAAATTGTAAAAGTTTGCAGAACAATGTTTAAGAATACTTACGCTCTCTATAAGTAATCAGTTTATACACAGTGCTCTTGATAAATATCATAAAACTACGGGTAACTGCAAAAAATATTTTCGAGGTCATCGTAATAATAAACATAGGGTTAATACAGGCACCATAATAAACCGCGTATGGCTCTGACCGCCATTACCCTCTGAGAGCGCCAGAGGCGTACCCTATTCTGGGCGGTCAGAGCCGCCGCCCACACCGGTGCACCGTACAGTGCCATTGACCGGACAACCCCCGTGTACAGCCGTCTTGTCGCGACGCTGGGTCCACCCATATTGGGCAGAAGTCGCCCTAGGGCGGACGCAGCGCCGACCAGCTTTGGAGCAAGCTGTCGGAAGTGCTCGTCGAAGAGCCACCTACCGTCGAGGATCAGGCCCAGATATTTCATCTGGGCCCGAACCGGTACGAGGACCGAGTTGACCACGATGGAGGCGCCAGGGGGTGGACCACGACGGGGCCCATGGAATAACAGGGCCTCCGTCTTATCTAGGGCCACCCGTAAGCCCAGCGCCTCAATGCGCCCGACCACCAGGGAGACTCCCCCTGTGGCCAGGCGCGCCGCCTCTTGGAAGTTGTTTGAGCCATACGCGGTTACCGCACCGTTTCGACGGAGGTGGCGTGCGCGTTGGCCGGAACTCCCCCGTGGGATTTGGAGGCGGAAGTGCTCGCCGAGGTTTATCGGCGAGTGGCTGACTGCCGGGCGGAGAGCGGATTTCGCCCTCCGCCCGAGGATGTGCGCGAGTGGCGCGAAGCCGCTCGCCGAGCCACGATGGCTCGTTGGTCGTTCCGGCTGGAGACTCCACGCGCTGGCTTCGCCGCCGTGGAGGCTTTCCAGCCGGTCATCGCCGAGTGGGCAGGGCGGCAGCACGGGACCCTTTCCTTCCGACTGACGCAGGTGCTTTCCGGGCACGGTTGCTTCGGGAAGTACCTGCACACGGTCGCTAGGAGGGAACTGAGTCCCGCCTGCCACCACTGCGACTGCAGTGAGGACTCGGCCCAGCACACGCTGGCGGTCTGCCCCGCATGGGCGGCGCAGCGCCGGGCCCTCACTGCAGTCATCGGAGTGGATCTCTCGCTACCGGCCGTAGTACGCTCCATGGCCGGTAGCGACAGTTGTTTTACCGCGGTCGCAACCTTCTGCGAGGTAGTAATCTCGCGGAAGGAGGCGGCGGAGAGGGCCCGGGAGGACGACCTCCACTCGGACCCGATCCGCCGCCGGCGAACCGGGCGGCGGAGGCCCGCCTATCACAGCCTCATGCCGCCCTGAGTGTGGCCGCGGGTGGACGGGGTGGGTTTCCCCTCCACCCGCATTAGTTGGCCAGCCGCGAGGGGGCGGCGTCCGCGTGTGCCGGACGTCGCCTAAAGAGAGGAACATCCACATCGAGACGGAGCCCGCACCAGGAGCGGGCTGGCGCTAGGAGGGGTCCGGATGTCTTAACAACAGCTGTTCCCGGATCCCTCCTGTTACAGGCGCAGAGTGGCACACCGTGTGGTTTTAGTCGGTCCGAGTCCGACACACCACCCCGCCGCAAACCCCGGAGGGGTGACGGTCCGAGGGGATTTCCACACGTAAAAAAAAAAAAAAAAAAAAAAAGGCACCATAATAAAAGGTGAGGGTATGATCATGTAAACTGCAACTTTCTTTCAACCGGTGGAATCACATTACACGAGAAAAGACTCAAACAAAGTTTACATAGCTAATTTAAAATACTCCATAACGTTTAAGTTGTGCCAGACTTGGGCAGAGGAGAATAATATTGTAGAGAGAACAGAGACAGTGCGCCAGTACCGAGATATCATTAACAAAGAAATGAACATAACTTTTTATGTTCCAAAAATATATCAGTGAGACATATGTAACTACAGTATTAAAAAAATGCCTTC